TCTAAATGCTTCTCTATTGACATATGAACCAAGTGGTGGAGATTTTTTGTTTTGATATCAAGTACTGCCTGGAATAGAGTAGAAACTTTAAGTTTTTTTCTCCATCATCTGATCAAATTTCTGTGTGTCAGCTGCTTATCCTGCAGAGGACAAGGCTATGAGGAAGGGGCAGTCACCTCCAGGGACAAAGACCACAGCCCCCCCGTTCCCCGTGGGGAGATCAAGGAGGCCAAGGCCACCTGGGCATTGAGCTGTGCCAGCTGAGAGGTTTACGGGATTGGGGATTGTCTGTCCAGAGATGAACCAGGGGACCAGAGGCCCCTTCTGGGGGCTAAGTCCCATGCTCTTTTCTGCAAAGTTTCTCAGGAATGGTTTCTCCTTGGCTTCAGGCTTTACCCCTCTGTAACTCACTGGGAAGCTGGTTTCTGCATAATGCCCATGGGAAAAGCAAAACTAGCCCAGGGTATCCCTGAGCCCCTCCTGTCTCCTGTCACCTGAGAATCCCAGCAGGTGGAGCAGGAGGAGGGAGTCTTAGAAACTGCCTGACAGGCCCTGCTGTGGAAGGGTTAAGCAGCTTGACTGGGTTCACATGGTGGTTGGGAAGGAAGCCAGGCCCCTTCTCTCCATGGCTTGTGCCTGGAGGCTGGGGAGATGGTGTAGGGTTCAAATCCCAGCTCCAGGGGAGGCTGGCTCTGTGACCTCGAGCATGTCGCTGCACCTTTTATGCCTGGTTCCCTGCCTGTGAGATGGGGTAATTACAGCATCAATGCCCTGGTGGTGTTTGGAGGACTAATGGGATGACGGACACTGCTAAGCACACTGCATGGCATTTACTAAGAGCTCGGTGTGGCTTGGCCGGTCATGACCCCTGCACGGTGTTCATATCCTCTTGCTGGACTGTAGGCCCCTGAGCCCAGAGATTGTGTCTCAGAGCTCTCTGGCTCCGCTAGAGCCAACATAAACATTCTGGGAAATAGTGAAGTCCTAAATGAATGAAAATAACAGTAATAGTAACTAACCTTTATTCAGTACCTTTTCTGTACTGTATGCATTACAGATATTATCTCTAATCTTCACAGTAGCCAGGTGAGGAAACTAAGGCTCAGGTCAGGTCACTTGCCCAGTGCCACATAGCTAATAAGCAAAGGTGCTGAGATTCAAGCCTAGGGCTGCCTGAGGCCAGAGCTCTTTCCTCCCCATTGTACTGCTGGGCTTCTCCCATTCTGCTCCACCTGCAGCTCTGAAACACCCAGCTGTGCTCTCCCCGAGGTTGGATTGCTCAAGGTTCCTGGGGGCCTCTGGGGGTGGCTTGGGCTGGGCCATATGGGGGAAGATCAGCAGTGCCTGAACGACCAGTAGGTGCTTACCAAGTAATAGTGAGCAGTTGGTGTTCCCAGGGTTCCAAAACATTCCAGACGCTTGAGGAGTGAAACGGGCCCTTGCAGTGAACTTGGCCAGAACCTATTTTCCAAGCCAAGGGCTATGGGCATCATCCTGTGGCCGTGGGGCTGAGTAGGGAGGTGGGGGCGGGGACCCATTAGGTCCAGGTGCTCTGCTCTCCATTCTTGTCTTAACCAGCCACTCCTTGCTCTCCAGCCACCTGGCTCTGTGTACTTTCCTTGCCTTTGGCCTTTCTTATGCTCCGCTGTTCCCTCAGCCTGGTTTGTCCTTCCTTTTCCTCTTTTTCAGTCCAGAGCCTGCTGCTCCTTTAAGGCTCAGCTGAAAGGTGTGGTCCCTCCAGGCCACAGTGTTTTCCCCCTAGAACTCATTAGTCCTAGTCCACAATCTTGCTTATGTTTGCAGTATTGTTCCCATTATAAAAAAGGGGGAATTGATGCTTTAAGAGGGTAAGTAATGTGCCACCCTCCCATAGCTAGAAAGAAGTAGCACATAACAGAGGTCCTGATCTATTGTCCTTTCTGCTCGCTGGCCCGGCTGGGGATTCTGCTCAGGGCAGCTCCATTCAGATGCAAGGTCAGAGGAGTCTGTAGGAGGGCAGTGAGCAGAGGGGCGGGGACTAATGCCGAACAACGCAGAATAATGGGGCATAATGGGGGTTAATGGTGAAAAACGGGGAAAGAAGGATCCTTAGCTCAGGCGTGCAGAGGGACTTTCTTAGAATTGCCCCCACCCCCAGATGCTGAGATTAAATCATAGGGCCAAAGTCACAGACTGCCATACTGGGATTTAAGTCTAGGACTCTGAACCCGTTGTAGTTTATTTTATTTTATTTTTTGGAAATTTAAAACACGCAGAAAAGAAATCCAACATATACCGATAGTCTTACCACTCAGAAGTGAGTGCTATGTCCTGACATGTATATTCCCAGTTTTAAAAGAAGAGTTCTTTTTTCTAATAGTAATATAGAACGATTCTGCTCAATGAAAATAATTCACACTACAAAGATGAGAATTTAAAAATTATCCCAAATCCTATCATTCAGAAAGTTTTATAATTTACTCTAGCGATAATCACGCTAGGTATCTTTCTAGGGACATAGATGGACCTGAAGATAAATTGACATACTTTTATAAACAGCGATCATGCTGTCGTCCAAGGCGATGGCCACTAGCCGTGCGTAGCCCTTGGCCACTTGAGATGTGGCGGGTTTGAAGTGAGATGCGCTAGAAGTGTAAAATACACGACTGTAAAATATCTCAATAGTTTTAAAATATCAATTACTCGTTAAGCTGATAATATTGTGGAGAGACTAAGTTAAATAAAATATACTACTAAAATTCATTTCACCTGTTTCTTTTTTAATGTAGCTACTGAAAGCTTAAAAATAACATGTGGCTTGACTATATTTCTGTTGGACAGTAGTGGTCTATTTAAAAATAAGGTACTAATGAATATTCCTGGGAAAAAAGAAACTAAAGTGAATCTGAAGGAACTTTTGATCTCCAAATGAACACTCCGCCATGTGATATCACTTCTTAAAAGAGTCCAATAGTGTTTTAAAAAGATCGGTGTCATGTTGTTGCCGTTTTTCTTTAAACACATATTACCGTGTCTTGAAAGATGAGGACATGGCCCTCTGAAGCTCTTCCCAGTTTTCGACATGTTGTTTTTGCTTCGTGTTGGTTCATAACAGTCACTTCTGTAACTGTAATTCTCGTGAGCATTTAGTGCCGCCTATGGAGACGCGCTGATACTTCCCGTCAGGCCTTCGTCCCCGAGCCCTGGCTTTCCTTATCCGCTGGTTTTCATTCTCAAGAAGGGCTCATGCTTCTGGGAGGATGCCGCCTCGTGCCTTCATACCTGACTGGTGTTCATGTTTCACGGGGTCCAGTCCACTCGGGTTGCACTTTGTGTTCCCGTGTCCTCTGCAGACTTCGCTGCATTGTCTTCTGGTGGAGGAACCGCTGCGGGTCCCTCGCGATGCCCTCCTCATCTTGCAGGCGATTTGCTTTTTCTTCTTGGACAACTAAAGAACTCTCGAGTTCAGTAACTCAACTCAGCCCTGTTTTGGTGTTGTTTAGCTCCTCCCGGGACCCTAGGTCTCATCTCTAAAAGGTTATTTTTGGCTTCCCAGTACACACACAGAGACACTGCCGAGAACAGAGACCCGGCAGCTTTGGGTCACTGACTAGAGGAATCAGAAGGGCTCCTATTACGGCTCTCAGCCTTCAGAGTCGGACCTACGCCCCAGAATTTGTTAATTTTAGATTGCACAAACGAGAGACATACCTGTTCTTTTCTCTGATACCAGAAAGTTAAAGATGAAGCTAAAGTCTATTTCGGCAACTAACCCCAGCTGAGGTTCTTCCTGTACCCCAGCAGTAACAGTCGTGGGTTTGACGTATATCCTTCCAGACTTTTAAAGCTGCTTTTATATTTTAATGCAATTATGTTCTGTCCCATCAGAGAAAAAAATAGACAGTGTTCAGCCTGGTGTATGAATTGTTTGAGTTTATTCAGAATAGTCTGGATGTGTGGATTCCACAGAGCCGCTACTAGAGTGAGGTTTTTATTCTAAATTACGAGGCAACACAGACACTAACAAAGTTATAACTATAAGTATTATACTCTTAGGAATAAAGTCTTTCTACAGACATTCCCAGATATCAGTGTCTGTATAGTCTTGACTTCTAGACAAACACAGACTGCATGCATTTAGGTCATTTGACACAAACTCATTTTAAGAATCTGACTGTACAAGGCATTCTGCTGGCTCAAATCCATGTCTGAGGCCACAGAACATGGGCTAGGAAATTTCACTCTTGGAAAGGCATAGTGTTGGGCCTTGTGTGTGTTTTGTAAGGATCATACTGAATAAATCATAAGACAACTTTGTGTTTTTTTCCTACACAACTTGAGCTCGCTCCGTGTTAAAATGTATCCATCTTTCTAGATTCAGTAAATAGGTGATGAAGGAATGACTGGATGCTTGAGCCACCACCTGTTTGAGTACACACTACTGGAACATTCTTGACAAATGCACACGAGTTCACTATAAGGTGTTGCCTACTTGGACTCGGTTATGAAGTTCCAGAAGGGCCTTGCTGGGGGCGTGGAGTGAGGGGGTGGTGGTCCCGAGGTCCTTGGGGGGTTCCCGGCACACTGACCATTCCTCGCTGCTCACCGTGTTCTTCACAGATGACATGGCAGAACTCCTCCTCGGGGAGTCGAAGCTGGAGCAGTACTTGAAGGAACACCCTCTGCGGCAGGGGGCCAGTCCCCGAGGCCCCAGGCCCCAGCTAACTGAGGTCCGCAAGCATCTGACCGCCGCCCTGGACCGGGGGAACCTCAAGGTACTGTGGATCTCTGGGACAAGGTGGGGCAGTGCGGAGTGCTGGCTCCATCTCCTCTGAGCTGTGTGGTTGGGGATGATCCCCCTGGACGAACTGGGTGATGTTTGGACCACGTCTCCACTGCCGTGGCTTGTCTTCTTGGAAGCAGGACAATTGATGTGTGCAGTTGATGTGTTAACCCCTAAGCTAGCTGACCACCTTGTGGGGGCTTCTGGCCCAGTAAAGTATTTCTGATGAGAGGCTTCAATGACGCATTACCCTGAAAAATAGCACTGATCTTCTCCAGGTGCTTGAAATAAGCCATCATGTGTGACCCAGAGCTCAACCTGACACCCCGTTCCATTACAGGAAAGAGAGAGAAGAAGCTTATCAGGAGTGCCACTTACTGCAGTTTCCTGCCTAAAAATGTGTGGCCCATGAACGTCCCCAGGCCTCTCTGGTCTAGAGCTGTGTGGGGTTTCAGACGGGGGGCGGGGCGGTGACCACAGGCCTGGTGCCTTGCCGTGGGAGGGGACAAGGACAGGAACTTCCCTCTGCCTGAGCAGTGACCCTAGTCCTTATGGCACAGGAAACGTTATGCACGGCCCTCCTATTCATCTACCCCGTTTTCTGTTTATACTCAGCCTTCCCTTCCCCTCTCCCATTTTTCCTTTCTTGCGTCTTTAGATTCCCTTTCATCTCACCTTCACTTACCACCGCCCTCCCTCAGCACCCCGGTCTTCTCCAGTGCTGCCTGTTGTCCCTGCTCCCTTTCAAGAAATGCCTGGAAGAGGGCCGCCCTATCTCAAACGGCCGCTTCGCCACGCTCTGGCTGGTTACCTGCATGTTGTCTACCCTGTCACAGCTATAGGTTACAGAATATGCGCCTCATAAGCTGAAAAATCTAGCCTCGTATAGCTTGGGTTCCAAGGAGAAGGCCTGGGAGAGGGTGATAAATCTGTTTCCTTATATAGATGGCTGGATGGCCTCTTCTTCCTCCGCTACAAGTGGGGGGAGGGGAAGGGAGGCACGTGGGGCTGGTGGGTGTGGCCTCAGGAAGCCAGCCTCTCCTGACTGGCCGGGAAAGAGCTGCGACAGGACAGTTGGAGCTGGCAGCCTCTGGGGAGGGGACTCCCGGTCAGTAACCTTAAGAAGCTGGAAGGGCTCGGCAAGTAAAGTTCACCCCTGGAAAGAAAGCAAGTCCTGATTTTTGCACTCATTGAGGAAGCCTCTCTCCTTGGGTTGGTTGTGTGGGTTACGCTCCCAGTGCAGTGCACAGGACACACGAGGATGCCTGTGCGAGCTCCTCTTTTCGAGACAGGTGCCTCTCTGTTTTGTTCAGAAAGCATTCCTTCACTTTTGCCCCAGTCCAGCCCAGCCCAGACACCTAAGGGGAGCCTCAGGGCTTTTGTTTTGTCTTGCTACAGCTTTATTGAAATATAATTCATATGCCATATAACCCACCCATTTAAAGTATGCGATCGAATGTTTTTTAGCGTATTCACAGAGTTGTGTAACCATTACCTTAATTTTAGAACATTTTTTATCACCCCCAAAATAAACCTGGAACTTTCCAGGCTCCTTCCGGTCCCAGCTTCCCAGCGCTAGGCAGACACTGATCTGCTTTCTGCCTCTATGGATTCGACCATTCTGGCCATTTCGTATAAATGGGAGCATAGCATGTGTCGCCTTTCCTGCCTGGCTTTTTCACTTGGCATACTGTTTTTGGGGCTCATCCAGGTCATAGCCTGATGTATCAATGCTTCCTTCTTACCATGGCTGAGTAATACTCCATGGCATGGTGAGACCACGTTTTGCTCACCCACTCATCAGTCGATGGACATTTGAATTGCTTCCACTTTGGGGCTAGTGTGAGCAGTACTGCTGTGAACAGGTGTGCGCAGTTTCTGGGTGCAGAGCCCCAGAGTTCTGCAGCAGCAGATGGCTGAGCCCCGAGAAAGCATCACCCATAATATCGTAGGAAAATGTTTTTTTCTCTCCTTTTCCTTCTAGTCAGAATTCCTACAAGAATCCAACCTGATCATGGCCAAGTTGAATTATGTGGAAGGAGACTATAAAGAAGCTCTCAACATTTATGCCCACGTGGGCCTCGACGACTTGCCGCTGATGGCCGCTGCCCCGTACAGGTTGCGGATGATCGCGGAAGCCTTCGCCACCAAAGGTGAGGCCTGCGTCCCTCTCCCCTCCCCACTCTTCCTGGCAGGGCTGCCCCCGGGTCGTGCTGTTTGGAGCCAGCAGAGCCTCCTGGAGCCTGCACTTTGACCCCCGTGGCCCTGGCTGGGGATTAACTCTGACAACTCCCAGCAAGGCCAGCGCACTGCATGATTTTAAGGCCAGCGACACAGTGTGTCCTCAGAGCCTCAGTTCTTCAATTATCACTGAAAGAAATGAAGGAAAAACGTTTCAGTCATTTTCTGATCATTAATATGTAACTAAGCGGAGATTTTTCTTGGTAATTAAGATGCACAACATATACAGGGTTTCTCATCTTACGGCCACTTGCCCACATGGCGGACCACATTTTTATTCATTAATGGCACCTCTGGGTTAATTAAGGCTAAGTGGCTGCTACACATGGCAGTCCTTGTAATAGTCAGCCACTGTTTAACTGCGTGCCTCGGGGCTCAGGCGGTCGAAGGGTAAATGTCACCCCAGGTGCCATGACGGAGTTTGTAATCTGATGTGAGAGTGCAGCCCCACGGAAAAAGAAATGACAAAGAGGCCGGACACACACAGTAGCTGACCTTTCCAATTGCCACTTCCTCATCTGTGAAATGGGTATGATCATATCTACTTCATAGAGTTATGAGGCTTAAGTCAAGTCATGTGCGTAATGCGCTTGACACAGTACCTGGCACGGACTAAATGCTTCCTAAATGGTATCGTACAGTGCCAGCTCCAAACAAGGCAGCCATCAGTAAAAACTGCGCATGGGCAACAGCTTTTCAGAGGCAAGAGAGGTCACCGAAGGGCATTGGGGGCTGGAAGGCTTCCTGGAGGAGGAGAGATGCTTCGAATCAGACTTCTAAAGGGTATGGTAAGAAGGGGACCATCCGAAGCAGCTCCTCTCCTTCCTGCCACCTACTGTCCAAACCATGCATTGTGACTGACTGTTGCTGGCCCAGAGGCCAGGGCTCTGAGTGTGCCGACCCTCCAGAACAGCAGCCAGCTGGCCACTTGTGTGCTGCCACCTGTCTGACTTGGTTGTCTTATGCAGAAATGAACAAAGATCCAGCCCAAGGCACTCTTAAGGGCTTTGTGATGGGGGCGACATATTCCTCCAGTTCCCTGGGGAATCTCTAGTATTGCCAGGCTCATCTAATTAATCTTCTAAATGTCACTGTGGGCTGGGAAAGGATGCTGTCACTCTTGACAGGGCATGCTGGCATTTTAATGGGCACAGTCCTTTGAGGCTGTCTTGGGGGATCCTAAGAGCTCTTGGCCTATATTTGCGCCTGAGTCATGGGGTGTGCTGCCGTCCGGGCCACATAGCTGCCCCCTTCTCTCTCTGGTGCTCACTTAGCTACCTCATATGCCTTAAGTTATGGGAACTCTGTGTGTGTGTGTGCGTGTGTGTGTGATTTTTGGGCCAGGAACGGTATTTTTCAATGAGAGCAAAGCTTCATCTGGCAGTTTCCAGCCATTGTGTGTGTGTGTGTGTGTGTGTGTGTGATTTTGGGCCAGGAATGGTATTTTTCAATGAGAGCAAAGCTTCGTCTGGCAGTTTCCAGCCACCCCATTGACCTGGGACCTGTTGGATTGTGGCCAGGAGTAGATTTGCTATTTGGGGTTGGGAATGGCTCAAGGCCTACTTAGCACCGAGAGCTCAGGTCTTAGTATTGGCTTTGAGACATCCTGGTGGTAGCAGACTGTCTAGAGGTCTCATTCCAGCTTCGTCTAGTGGCTGCCATGTATAGTGGACAAGGAGGACAGGAGACTCGGTCCCCGAGTTTGGCCCTGGGTGATATGGGATTAGCAGTGGGTCCCAGCTATGGGACTGAACCACTTGGCTCTTGGGACACACTGGCTGGCTCATCAGAGACCTAGCCCTGGCTAGTTTCTGAATTCCATAGGCACATGCAGGGTCACATGTGTACGGGTAGAGGGAAGGGTCACTTTTGCCCAGAGGAAGTGACCTGCAGCCCAGGAGGACTCAGGCCCCAAGAGCCTTGGATGGCCAGGTGAGAGGCAGCGTGGAATGATGGTTGTGAGCACCAGTGTTGGACCATCTACCCGGGTCCACCCCAACCTCTGTCACACACAGGTCACGTGACCCTGTGCAAGTTCTTAACGTCTCTGTACCCTAGTTTCCCCATCTATCAGGCTCCTATTGGGTCGTCAGGAAGAGTTCATGAGCTAGTACCTGGAAAATGCTTACAGCGTTACCTGGCACATGGTGAGCATGATGTGAATATTAGTTTAAAAGACGGTGGGGGGACCACTAAAAGTGACTTAGCAACAGAGGACGTCGCTCCTCTAATTCATGGAGATGCCAAAGACAGGGCAGTTCCCTGAGGAGCTCCAGAGCCTCTTGGCCTAGCTCTGTGTAGGAATAGGCTTGGTTTTTCTGTTTTCATCAAGGTTCTTATAACTTAAGGGGAGATTGCTGATAAGGATTTGATGAATATTAGCACGCAAAGTACAAAGTACCGTTGAATCAGGTTGCGAGACACTGACCCTCAGGCATGTGAGACAGGCTTTGTTTGGTCCTCTCAGTGTTTCCAGTGCTTTTGAATTAGTTGCTAACATTTCCAAATTGGGAACAGTTAAGAATTTGGCTTTCTGTCTTCATGGGAAAAAAGGCTAGAGCTGTCCCGTCATTCTCCCAGGTTTAGCCCAGGCTGGAGCTGAGTGAACCTGCCCCTTGGGTGGGCATGCACCCAGCCCACGCCCCTCCCCTGTGCCGCCTGCATGCTGCTGTAGACGGTGGAAGTGACCTGCACGCTTTCATAGGTCACCTGAACGTTTCCTTGGTCACTTGGGGTCTGACTCGCACAAGGCTTTCAACCAGAGCCTGGAAATGTCCTTGAACTCTCACATCTAATTCTTCCTGCCACAGCTTGGAGCTCCACCTCCCTCGTCCAGGTAACGTCAGCCATGGTTCATGGGAATGAGAAGCCAACATCATTCAGTTGCTGAGAACCTGCTATGGGCCAACACCATGTTAGGGCTTCACTGTCTCTTTAATCCTCCAAACCCCTAATTTACAAATGAAGGAAATGAGATTACGTGTGGTTACTAGGAATATCAGTGCCCACTGTGTGCCCGGTGCTGTGTCCTCTACTTGGGTGTCGCAGCCAGTTTCCACGACCACCCTGGGCGGTGGGCACTGTTATTCTTTCCAGTCCCTTGGCTGACCTGAGGCCTGGTAGCCCGTAGCCAGGAATTGGTTTGCAGATGAGCACACTGAGGCACAGAGAGGTCAGGTAAGCAGCCCAGGGGGCTGCAGCTAAGAAGTGGCAGGAGGGGGCTCAGCCTGAAGGCTGTTCAGCTTCAGGGCCCATGTTCTGGTCACTCTGCTCCATGGGCACGTGGATCAGAGCTCACTCGGGTCAGGCCAGGTTTCCTTGGGTGGGAAACTTTCAGACGCTAAAGGACACCCTGGATTCGTGCCTGTCACCCTCTTCTCAGCCCCTCTCCCCTTGTTCCTGCACCTTAACTTCTTGTCCTTGCCCAGGTTTCTTCCTGCAAGTTCTGTCCCTCAAGCTCACACATGTCCTATCTTCTCTGAAACCCTCTGGGGCTCACCCATTCAGAGTCGATCTTATTCAGTACCGTCACAGCACAGTAGATTAGAATTACGTGAAAATCCTCTTAGAGTTAGTTGTGCCGTTATCAGACACCTTGCTAGTCGTGAGTTCTTCTAAAGGAAGAACTCTGTGTGTCGTTTGTTTGCCATCCTCGGAACTTGGCTGCGTGTCCGGCATATAATTAACGCTTAGTTATTGAGTGGAATTTGTAAAATTTCCCTTCCTCGGATTTCTGTGGACATGCCCATCACATAATTCAGGTGATTCTGGGTGCTTTTGCTTCTAGCCGATCATGGACAGATGTGTTTTCTTTGCCTGTAGATAACATACTAAGCATATTTTGATGATTCAAAGTCATTTCTGCCAGTTATGGGGAATACCTGTCAGAAAACGCTGACATCACATCATAACAGTGCCTGACACGGGTCTCTTTCCCAAAGGTACACATTTCAGTTCCTTTCCATGGTCAGAAAGCACCTGAGTGGATCTCACCTCCTCCCCCAGCTCCTTCCTCCAATCTCTTAAACCTGAGTAGAATAACAGAGTATGGGAATAGAAGAAACAGAGAAACTCCTCAGCTTCCTGTAATATTGGGTTAATCGAGTGAGTAGAGACCTTTGCTCTAGGACACAGATTGAGATATCAGATGAAATCTCCAGGACAGCGAGTGGCCACAGATGTTCTCTTTCCAAGTGGGGAGGCTTGGGAACAGCAGACACATGGCCACTGTCTATTTTGGGACTTAGATCTACTGGACGTGGGGTAACTTTCTGCAGGTAGGACAGTGGCAGCTGGAAGTAGCTTGCCTTCCTGGAGCTGGCCTTTATAAGTGCCTTGGTATGTACCTTGTTGTAATAAAGGGACCGAAATGCGTTGGCTCCGATGTGACTGAAGCCTGTCACAGTCCTGTGATAGTCCAGCCGGTCGAGGCTGGTGGGGCCGCTGTGTTCTCTGAGGCTACTGCTCCTCCCCCGTCTGCTGGCGGCCAATGCACATCCGTGTGATTGAAACTGGGCTCCGGGGTGTTGCAGCTCATGGAAACAGGAAAGAGAGAAATGTCTAGGGTGAGCGGAAGTAACATCAGTTCTGCTGACAGTCCATTGGTGAGAGGTTACTATAGGACCATATCCACCAGGAGCCTCTGTCACACATGTTAGTGTACTTCTCTATACTTATCATATGTGTGAATTTTTTATGTATAAAAATTAGATTATGCCATATATACTGCTTTGTGACCTGCTTCTTCCACTTTGCTGCAGGTCACAAACACTTTCCGTGACATAAGAGATATTTGTGCAGCATTTCAGCAGCTGTACATTGTATGGATGAGCTGTGGTATATTGAACTAAAAAGCTTCTATTTTGGACATGTAGCTTGTTTCCAGCTTTTCACCGTTATATATAAGGCTATG